ATACGACTTAAGTTCTCCCTCCGCTGAATAAAAATTATGCGATGCCCCGGCTCGTTTCATTGAAGTGAAGCTTTTGTTATTGAATAAAGCACTGGCACTGTTCACTGTCTTCCACTGCTGCAGTCAAGGACCACGCAAGGACCAAACACTGCCGTTCGTCCAGCTTTGTTTAATGTTCTTTTCATCCAGCCGTTGCAGCAATACCAAGAACTGTATAGGCTTCCATTCCTACATCGCCCCACTGTTCGTTTTTACAATGATAGTGGTGAGGGAAATTGACAAAGAATCAGAAAAGTTTAGAAATTCGGCATTGTTTATATCCTCATTTTATCTATAAATGGATTTTTACGTCGTAACCTTCGAATTAGGGCATACCACGCTCTGGTGTTTTAGAAATAATTTGAATCCGAGCCTACTGAGCCAAGAAAATGGGGCTTGAAAACTGTTTCTGCGTTAACTTTACATCAGATGAAGTTTCAAATTTCCGAATTCCAACCTTTTTCCCCCCTAAGCAATAAAAATGGCTTGAGTAAATATTTGTTTCCAAGACATTTCAAATCTGTGCAGCTGCAAATTTGATTGCAGAATGCTTGGCAGATTTTGCTGCACAGAGCGTGCAGTCGATCCATAAACTGGGCCAACTTTTGCTCATCACAGAGACAGCTGTTCGCCAGAAGACTTTCTCCGATTTCCATGATTTAATCGGTCGGCGCATATCGTTTTACAGCGATCAATTTGCTCAGCATATCAGTTCGGTTGGAGTTCCCGGTGAAGAGGTCAAATTTTTAACTCATAAACCTTGCACTGACTCGCGTCAGCACGAGACGGAAATGCAGGCGACAAGGAAGAGAGCAGTGCCTTTAAACTCAATGTAGCTTAAGTATCGGTTAAATTCACATCTTGTGTGATCACATTTGACGAATTAACGGAATTCACATTTAACGCATCTCTAAAATGCCGCGCAGCTTTCATTCTACCAGAACTTGAAAGAGAATTCGGCTAAAAGAGCATCATCTTCTTAAAAGTTCCACACGGGCAGTTTCAGTTAATTTTTTAAGCAAGAATCTTTGCGCAGTTTTGTCCAGTAGATATTTGCTTTTGTTGCAGAATTCCAGAATTTTTGTAGTAGCATACTGCAGTTTTGGGCTACAACAGTGTATTGCGGCGTACGAGAGAGTCGCTTTTACATGCAGCCTGGGAGAGATTTAGTTTTACGTTTCTGGGTCCGTACACAACCCGACAGTGTGCTTTATGATTCCTGCTTTCTAACATGTCTGTTGTGGAGTTCATGAACTGAGACATACACACACACACTCACATACACACACACATGCACGCACATATACACTCTCATACACGTACACACGCACACACACACACGCACATATACACACATACACACATGGACACTCGAGCAGAACTTGGTACTTCGCTACCAAACAGATACTTAAAAAATTCAATAAGGAAACAGACATACATGATTAAGTCTGTTGACAACCGTATAGACATCTTTTTCAGACAGATGAGCTCGTTACGACCGTGTTCTTAGCAGCAGGCGATGCCTTCTCCTACGTGCAACAGTCATTCCGCCTTCTACGGCCTCTGCTGATTCTGTGATAATTTCTTTCATTGTCTGTACATGTCCAGGTGGTCAATACGGTGTAATAAAAGTTAATCTTCTGGTTGTACTGTACAACAAGCTCGGTGATCCGTTTTTCCGCTTTCCTAAAAAATGTTCAAATTAGGCGCTGTTTGTTGCTTCTACATCTTTGATCGCATGTCCTTTTTGGCGAACTTATTGGCCATAATAAGATCAGGTAGCGGAAGCACCATTTTAACATCCTGATCATGTCAAACCCGAGATATGCTTCGGAATCATTTTGAAATGAGATTTGATGCAGTCGTCTTTTTTATCTGTTCTGTGCTGTGTAACAGCAGTGCAAAACGCGTATTGTCACGGGGTTATTTGTGTTTGTGTGTGTGTGCGCGTGTGCGTGCGTGTGCGTGTGTGTGCGTGCGTGTGTGTGCGTGCGTGTGTGTATGTGCGTGTATGTGTGTACATGAGTGTGTGTATGTGTAAATGTAAACACGTGTCTGTGAGTGTGTGCGTGTGTGTCCCACATTTTGTCCCGCACTTTCAACTCGGTAACCAAGTTAGGCGGCTGAAATTTTAATATAGTGCACCTGACAAAGTGCGATCCAGAAGACTCATCCAATATTCTTGTACTCACAGGTAACACATACGACCCCGCGAAATTTTTGGCGGATAAAATTATTATTTCGAGAACCAGGGAAGCTAGGAAGCTTAAATTTTATGAGCATATCCCCTGACTACGTGCGACCCAGAAAACTCCAACTCAACCGTCATGTATCCGTGAGTAACATGTACGGCTCCGTAAAAGTTTGGGCGGGTGAAATCAGTATCTCAGGAACCACGGACGCTAGGAAGTTGAAATTTTATGGGTATGTCCACTGACCACGCGCGACCCAGAAAACTCAAATTCAGGCTTCTGTACCCGTGGGTAGCATATACGGCCCGGTGAAACTTTTGGCGGGCAAATTATTGTCTCGAGAACCGCGGAATCTAGGAAGCTGAAGTTTTAGGACAATGACACCTGCCCACGTACGGCGTCGCAAATTCTCGGGTATTATTCTCCCCTTGTTGGCGAGCTAATTATCTCGGGAACCATGGAAGCTAGAAGCTGAAATTTTATGGGTATGTCCTCTGCCCATGTGCGATCCAGAAAACTTGAATTCAGCCTTCCCGGACCTGCGGATAACACGTACGGCCCCGTAAAAATTTCGGTAGGTAAAATCATTGTCTAATAAATCAGGGAAGCTGGGAAACTAAAATTTTGTGGAGTATGTCCCCTGCCCACGTAGGACCCAGAAAACTTAAATCCAACTTGCCCGTGCTTGCGGGTAACACGTATGGCCTTGTAAAAGTTTTGGCGGATAAAATCATTGTTTCAGGAATCGCGGAGGGTAGGGGGCTGAAATTTTATGGGTATGCTTCTTGGCCACGTGCAACCCAGAAAATTTAAATTCAGTTTCCCCGTGCGCTTGGGTGTCGCGTACGTGAAAGTTTTGGCGGAAAATTATCTCGGGAACCATGAAAGCTAGAAAGCTGGACTTTCAGGACGATATTTTTTGCCGCTGCAGGTATCTCGCAAACTCAAATTTAGCTCCTACGTATGCAGAGGTCTTATTTAAGAATTTTGATGTAAAAGTCACGAGCTCGGAAGTCGGGAAACTAGAAGGTTGAAATTTGGAGGGGTGTTCCCCATCCATGTTTTCAAACTCAGCTTTCACATGCCGGCACATGAAACTTTCGGTGGGGAATTCTTCACATTAGGAGCCATACAGCATATCGACTATTTTTATGCGTTTTTGCATATACGCAAATTGCAAAAACACATACTGGAAAGAGGCTCTGTGTGTGTATATGTCTGTGTGTTCGCACTTTCTGTCACCCACTTTGAACTTGAGAACCGGAAAAGCTAAGAGGCTGAAACTTTGGGAGTATATGTCCATATCATGCGCGACCCTCCCATTTTAATTCCATCCTCCGCGGACACCTAGGTACGCTTTGAAAAATTACCCACATTTTTTTTCAGGGAAGCGATCTTGGGAACCACGCGGGCTAAGGGGCTGAAGCTTTGTAGGGATATTCCCTGTGCATGTACTAACTAAAGATTTCAAATTCAGCCTCCAGGTATGCGTGGTACTTACGCAAGGGTGTATGAAATTTTTGGCGGGAAAGTCACTAACTCTGGTACCGGGAAAGCTAGGAAGCCGAAATTTTGGGGGAATGTTTCCTATCTAACTACAACTCAAATATTTCAAATTCAACCCCCCAGGTATGCATTGTACTCACATAAGGGCGTATGAAAGTTTTAGGGGGAAAATTGCTAACTCGTGTACCAAAACTTAAATGTTTCAAATTCAGCCTTGAGGTATGCGTGGTTCTTATGTGCGGGTACCTAAAGTTTTGGTGCAAAAATTTCTCACTGAACAGCTAGGTTACTTTTAAAGGACGAGTGTTAAATGGAAGCTGTTCATCCCTTTTATACAAAATTTATGGTGATTTATGTTAGTTACCGCAAAAGGTAGTTGTAAAGCAGCAACTATTCATGCAGTTAATGGCCTGAGTACTTCAAGTCCTACGTAAAAACGCATGATCGCACGGGCCCTCCCGGTGCGTTTCAGCCTGGGTTCCATATGCGAAAGTGTAAAACAGTTATATTTTTAGTACACAAACATCTGCTGGACGGAATTGCACAAAACGTATGATCGCACCGGCTACCTTTTCTTCAAGCACTGATATCTTCGTACACAAGTGATCCAGTGCTCCAGTTTAGTGAGATTTTGGCTTGTGTTATCAGCTTGCAACTTACAGATAACAATTACACCTCTGTTTTTTTTCCTCCAGAATCTCACAGAAACAAAACCAGACATCATTCCCATTCATTCACTTTTTTACTCTCTTTTAATCTTCCTCAGCTTCATCTAAGCATTAGCGTCATATATAGGGAAAGTCTACAGAAAATGTGTTTTTAAACGATAATTTCCAAACAATTCGCTTAAATTTGTTTTATTCATCGTTAATTCACTTCGCTCTGCAGTGCTTTGTTGTCCCGTTTTGTTTACTGTAGTCCCCAGTTCCTTCGAACTCCTGACTAGTATCTTTGTCCCCCTTCCTTGCCCTGTCTCCAGCTGCTGCCTCCAATGCAATATCTCAGTCCTCTCCATCTCCTCATAACTGCCCTTCCTAACCAACCAACCCCTCTTCCACGACGGATTTTTGCGGTCCAGACCAGCAACACACCTCTTCCCTTTCTCACCTCCTCCCAGCCC